CGCTCCAGACTTCTGAAAGAACACTTAATCCCCGGGAACTGTTATTCCGGGAAGCTGAGGGCGATGTAAATATCAGAAGCGCTTGGTTTAAACGTTCCAAGCGAGGGCTGGGATAGATGCACTTGTGCATAAAAGAAAAAAAAATAAGACTGATTAAGCAAATACTGTATACACACAGGTGGGATAAGGGTATTGAATATTGGTGATTGGGTACATGGAGTGACAAGAGTTTCTAAGATCAAGTCGGTACTAGGGTAATCTGACTTCCCTTTTCAGGCTCGATGGGGTCCTTGATTGGGCAACCTCGGGCGCCACTATACCGCCTATGTACACGATTGGAATGGAGAACCAGTGACTGTTAATGGTTGAAACTGTGTTGAGTTCACCTCGTAGTTCTGCAGCATTCTGTGAAATCATACTTCCTTAAACTATTAATGGGTGCCTAGAGCGCAAGCCTGGCCACTCTATTGACGTGTTCCGTACCTAGTTTTGTTGTACTATCTGCTCCTGCCTATCCATGTCCTCTTTCGAACGGGCCCTCAAATGATCCAGTTTAAACACCTCAACATTTGCTCTTATCCGTCTGGCGGTCGGAATCACTGAAGGCATTTGAAGCTGCGAACTTGAAGGCCCGGGTGACATCCGTCCTCTTGTTTCTCGTTGTCGGTAGTCCAAGTATAGTGGATATCGCCCATACAGCCAGGCCTCTCCCACTAGAAACATGCCGTTAGTACTGAAGACTCCTTGATGGAAGAGAGCGGCAGGGAAGGTCAAAGAGCAAGGGATTCAGATGTAACAATATGTTATCAGGCAGGGCTAGAGCGATGGATAAGGCTTGAAGGGTGTGGTATCAGGGAGCAGGAACAACTCACACCGAGGCAGAAGAGCATGCTAGTGGCAGTGACAGACTTGCCAACGAATCCATAGTGGTCATCACACTAGAAGATGACAGAATGTGGATTAGTAAAGGCCAAAGGCCAAGGGGGAAAGAGTGTGACTTGGCTGTACGCAACTTACGTCTCCAGTCCCGGTCGGTCCGTCGCTGGATAGAGTCATGTGAGCGGTGCAGTTCACCTGCGGATCCTCGATAACGTCGCCAAGGTCCAAGCATGGCATGAGCAGAGGAATCAGGGCGTCATCCATGTCTGGGCCCGTGTACTCGAGAGAGGACGACTTGGCACTCGCAACGGCCTCACCACAGCCAAGTTCCTCGGAGAAGAACTCGGCCTTCCAGGCTTCTACCGGGTCAACGCCGAAGAGAGGCACAAGCCAGAGCAGGAACGATATCACTCGGAGTGGGTTCTGCATAATAGGCGGTTGACGTCTGAGCTTGTGAAGATGGATAGATGGTCGTGGAGAATCAGGGACAAACAGTGGTCAAGATGGATAATGAGACAAGCTGGTGTAGGTTAGAGCTATGATCAGTGGGTAGAAGATTGTTGAGAAGGGGAATAAACGGCTTGGTCTGCAGGTTGGTTGCACTATAGGGTACTGGTTCATAAAAACAGCAACTAGGCTATAGGTGTTGTATAAGTACTGAAAGTCACAATAAGCTCACTACGAGCAAGACAAGATAAACTCATAGCAACATGGAGGTACCCTGGTTTCTCGAAGTTGCGTGAATAACAGTTAGTTAACCCTTAGGAGGCATCCCCATTACCATTAATGGTCCACAACGCTATCTCAGTTGGGGATGTCTCTAAGCATTTCGGTAGTGTCTTGCACTATCTTTTTAGTATTCAGTTAGAGATGAATGTCTCTTATTCTGGTGTTATTCTTTGCTATAACATATGATTAGGAGGGCTGGCAAGGGCAATCGAATCATAGCAATGTTATACTTAGATATCTATGGAGTGAGAAATAGGTGTTAAGGTATTCCGTGCTACTTTTGTGTACATTGACAGGTGAGTCATAAGCAAGTATACGTTTTACCTATTAATCTATTATTAAATAGCTGCTACTTTGGTACATCCGCTTAGCTTTCTGAATAATGTAGGAAAGAACGTGAAGGGGATGCTCTGTTGTTTTGTACTTAAGTACCTAGGTACTACTCTTCAGTGTCTGATGAAGCATGTGACATTGCGGGGTTCATGATCGCAACTTACCCCGCACTAGCTGAAGTAAAGGAAGGCACACGAACACCGCGTCACTTAGGTACATAGGTACTTAGTACCTATCTACCTACTATAAAAGTATTAGATCTAAATCATGGCTACCCCCAATCAATCACAGGTCGGCGGTAAGTGACTTGAGAGACTGGATAGTTCATGCTGCTATACAATGTCGGTCGGAGCCTCCGAAGGCGGAGCGGGTTCGCCAAGTGCGGCACCGGACAATAAACAGGTACCTACCTAATCTGACTCTGGGTAACGCAATGCCAGCGTGTCATTGGGCCAGACTAGCCCCAGAAAAGCCATTTAACCTCTATAAATGAAAAAAGATGGTACCTACCTGTAGCAGTGCTGTGACGTCCTCGGGGCAGGTTGTTGGCTGCTCGTTTTACGTGGCGTTGGCACAATATTTACATCTACCATGGCGGCCGCCGCATCGCCCAGTCCCCACGCACCGCTGCGGTTCGGGTGGATCGGGCTGGGGAATATGGGCAACGCAATGGCAAAGAACATACAGACACACCTGCGATCAAGATCGGAACCCCCCCTCCGCTTTTGGAATCGCACCGCCTCGCGTGGCGATGAGCTGGAGAAGCTCGGGGGCGAGCGGTGTGTGTCCGTGGCGGGGCTGGCGGCTCGCAGCGACGTCGTCTTCATCTCGGCAAGCGACGACGCGGCGGTGGAATCCATTGTCGAGCAGATCATCTCGTCCGGCTCCGGCGTCAGGGGCAAGATTATCGTCGACACCACCACGATCCACCCCGACACCACGAAGAGCGTCTCGGAGCGGCTGCGGGCACATGGTGCAGAGTTTGGAGCGGCGCCCGTCTTCGGCGCAACGCCCGTGGCCGAGCAGGGCAAGCTCCTTATCGCCTTTGCCGGACCGGACGTGGTATACCGGGCGATCGCGCCCGTATTAAAGGGCGTCATCGCCCGTGAGGTCCTCCGGGTCGGGGAAGAGCCGGGGAAGGCGACGCTGTTGAAGACAGCAGGGTAAGGCACACATTGAACAGGGATCAAGAGGCGGGAATAATGTGCTGACATGACGAACAGGAACTTCGTGGTGGCAGGACTCATGGAGATTGTCGCGGAAGCCCACGTGTTCGCCGAGAAGACTGGTCTCGGCTGCGACGCGCTGGAGCAGCTGCTGGCGCTCAACTTCGGCACCGTCGCCCACTCCATCTCGACCCGGATGACGACCGGAGTCTACATCCCCGCCAGGGGGGAGACGCCGTGGTCGGACCTCGACCTGGCACGCAAAGACGTCGGCCACGGCGTCGACAGCGCGCGGCGGGCCGGCGTGAGCTTGGAAGTCGGCCGCACCGCGCTCGAGCACCTGGAGAGGGCCAGGGCGTACTCGGACGAGAACGACGGTCGTCCGCTCGACTCCTCCGCCTTGTACGGCGTCGTGCGACAGGATTCCGGGCTGGATTTTCGGACGGATCGTGTGAGGGAGAGAGACCGGTGAATACCTATTTATATCCATAAGTATTTATCCTGATTCCTGACCAAGAAGGAAAGATACCTAGCCGTGCTGAAATGCATCTTTACACGTCCCATGTAAAAACCCAAAACCCCAAGCCATTGAACCAAAAATAATTCGCCTTTCAGCTCTCTGGGATGACGTCAAGCTGAAGATCTACCAATCTGGCCCCGCTCGCCTCGCCTCACTCGGCTGCTCCCGAGCTAGTCTTAGGCTAGCGACGATGTTAGTAGTGGCGTTGAGAGACACCCAGACTAGTAGTTTCGTTCTAAAATTCAACGTCAACCCATGGGACGTGCAAAAATACAACGAGGCCATGGCTGCTACCTCCTACTCTCGTTGGACGGCGGCAGACTGTTCGGCGTATATGTTCCCTCTCTTGAAACTTGAAACCTGATATGGACATTCTGGACGTGTGGGTTGTAGACAGGGCACCACAACCCTTTGATCCGGCCGCTCACGTCCCAGGGGCCAGCATAACGGCCATCGACGCCAGCAGCGGCGCCATCGGGGTCGCTCAGGTTACGTAGACAGCGTGGCGTGTCTAACGCAGTCGTGCTACGTCGAGGACGTGTGTGCAATCCGGGTGGTTTCGTTTGCGCGCGGGAGAGAAATTGGTCGAGTATCGTGGTATACCCTCGCTCGCAAGGCATTAACGAGAGTCTCGCGCTCATGGAGAGGCTCACTGACAATGCTGGTCGGGTTATTGATGGGCGGTCGGGGGTCGAAGAAGGGAGTTCGCCTGCAGAGCTGGATTCAGGGCTGAGGATATATCGGCTTCCGCTGCGGCCGTCACGTACACAAAGTTCGTCGATCGGAACTAGTGGGCCGAGGATATGGCATCGCGACTGGATTCATCGTCAGACTTGAACAGAGCAGTAGAGTTTGGATTTGTTGCGGAAGTGGTGGCGGCACACAGACCGGATGCATGGGGGTGGATGGGCAAAGTCTGATGACGCGTCCTACCGCGTCATTGATGGCCAAGTCGTACGTGGGAAGTGAAGACTTTGGTGGCCTTGCTGGTAAATCATTTCTCACGCCACGCTCTGGTCTAAAATGCCCAAGTTCAGGTATCGCTGTTTCCTTCTTCGGCTTATGCTCGTGTTGACATTAGGATCTTGATTCCCAAATAATGATACGGTAGCACAAGTCCATCACAGTAAAAGGGTCATCACCTCGTGCTAGAGAAAGGCACGCTAGGAACTGTGTAGTGCCCTAGGTACTTAGTAGTAGTGTTTGTTAGTTGCCGGGGCTCTGACACCCTCGTTTCGATCTTGCCGGTTCTTGTGTACCCAGGCATTTTGGTGCTCATGTCTTAGTATTAAAGCTCCTAAATGTTTTAGAAAATAGAAAAAGCCTACAGAAGAAAATAAACTGGAACGAGACAGGAAAAGGGCAAAAAGAGACACCGCACCCCGGACTTGAACCGGGAATCTTCGGCTTAGGAGACCGACGAGTTCACTGTAATCTGAGGTTAGCGACTTCCTCTACCAGTAGGCCACTGTTGGTAACTTACCCATTTCTCTAGTACGGCGTATGGTAGCTCTGTTAAGTAGGTATATATAAACCTACCTGCCTTGCTGTGTACTCCCTTCTTAGGTAAGAGGAGCAGGGGTGAGGGAACAAGAGCCAACAGGTCCCCAGCAACGAAGACTCAGCGGCGGCTTTCCCTCCCTGCTCGGAGACGGATGTGCCTATTGTCCCTGACCTGTCGTTTTCATGGCTATTTGTGCCCATACGTTTGCCGAATATGAAAAGTGATGCGGAATCTGCAGTCATCCGAACAGTGATACGGATTAGCAAACGTCGGGGCCCTACACCCCAGCCGTTGCAACCAAGGCTACCTGTTGTACCAGGTCCCTTCAGTGAAGTCGTACAGTAGAGTTCAGTTCAATTTTGCTTCCTCCCAAAATTGTTTATTACACCGGTACGGTGATTGCACAAACTGTTTGTAGAGGTTTACAAGATTGAAACTAGGCAGCAGTTTTTTTTTTTTTTTACAAAGTCCCAAAGAAGTCGAGAATAGCTTCAGTTACGGCCGATGGGGCCTCCTGTTGTACCCAGTGGCCAGCACGGGGTACTATCACAGCGCCCCTGAAACATCCCGGCTTGACGGTTTTTGGATCCTCGTAGCTTTCTAAGGCGCCAGGCTGCTGGAAATGGCCCCAGTCTTTTTCTCCTCCGATATACGCACAGGGAACTTCGATCCGCCTGCCCGCGTAGAGCAGCACATCACGAGCCGAGTATGGCGTTGAGGCTGTCTGTGCGCGATACCAGTTCAACCCACCTTGGAACCCCGTGCGCGTCCATTCATCGCAGTACACTTGCAGTTCATCTTCCCCGAGCCACTCCTCCGTTGCTCTGTAGTCTTCATCTTTCATGTTGTCCGACACTACATCAGGCATTGATTGGTTCTTTCGCATGATGTAGTACTCGGGCATAACTGATAGTGCTGCCGCGCTCCACTCCTTGAGGCGACCCGGCTCATTCAAGGTCCATGATGCAGACTTCAGGTGAAAATAACCGCGCAAAAACTTGTTTATCCCCTGTTGAAAACCCCAAGGTCAGTAATTGTTGTTTGCGGTAAACAATGAAAAAAGGCTCGGGGGTTTGCGTGAAGGACAGGCTGTAATTATGCAACTGCTGTACCTGAGACGCACACAAAAACCATTATGGAAACCTTAAAAACACTCACCTGCGGTGGGTTGTCCCACTCCAGTGCTGCCTCTGGAGTCGAATTGTACCACTTGTAATGTTTGCGCGGGGGTTTCAGCCCGGCTAGCTCCGCCTGTATGTCGGATTTTGCCGGCACAGGCCGGTCACCAAGCCGCGGCGTCGAGATGCGGTGGTGTGGATGGGATAGCTGTATCGTCGACTTGAACATGTCCGGGCGCACGAGGGCCGCCATGGCCGAGCTAACGCCCCCAAAGTCGTGCCCAATGATGCTGAAGACCTCGGTATAGCCCAATCCGTAGACGAGGCAGACCAGATCGCGCACGAGGTTCGTAAACACATATTCATTCAGGTCGACGTCGTGAAATGGCTTCTGCGCCCATCCTGTCGTGCGACCGTATCCCCGCTGGTCCATGGCGACACAATAGTATCCCGCCTCGGCTACACGCGCCAGGACCTTCCGCCACGAATATGCGAGCTCCGGATACCCATGGCAGAACAGCACCAGTGGATTCCCCGGATTCCCAGCCTTGAGTATGTGCCAGGTGAGGCCACAGGAGTCCCGGCAGTCGACGTACCCCTCTTTGACGTTGGCCGGTAATTTCAGCGGGGGAAGTCGGTTTACGGATGCGTCTTCGCTCGTATCCATTTCGGTTTATTCACTAGACGTTGTGCCCAGAATATCTGATGTCGTGCCGTGACCTGTAAACAATGCTACATATGGCCCAACGGAAAGGTCGATCTACCCCGCAAATATCATGCGTCACGATATAAATCCAAAGTGCATTTGTCAGCAAAGAGTGTGTCAATTCAACAGCCCCATTCTTTGAGGATAAAAGTATTGAATGTGCCCTTACCGTGTAGAATCAATAACTGTTTGAAAAGTGCCTTGAGCAATCTACGTCTCACGTTCACTCAGATCTGACTCACCTTGAATACACGTATCAAAACCTTTCTGTTAAACAAGCAATATCGTCCTCGATACCTACAACAAAACTCATGTAATTAATGGGTTTTCTTCTTTAAGTGATTGTGCTTTTTGGGGCCCTCACAAACTCAGCGCTTCTGTCTGTCAGGTAATCCAATTTATGACTCCGAAGCATACGGCCTCGGCTAGTGCTACAAAGCAACAGGCAATGTATGAACAAGCGAAGATGCAGCAAGCTTGGCACCAACTGGGTAATGGTTTATTGTAGTAAGTAGCCGATAGATGCGGAAATTGGCACTTGGTAAGTCAAATACATGTGATTGCTGCATTGCAACCTCAGTCTGAGTTGGATTTATGTACTGATTGCTGTACACTTCTCCCCCTATTCCTCTTTGAACGCTATTTCTCTGCATATTTTGGGTCTCCGTTTGGCTTCATGATAGACAAGCAGATAGATGGCGTGAGGGATTGTACATATTAACTGCTCATTCCTTCATAGAGCACCAACTTGCCAAATAAGAAACAACATGGATACACGGTGTTTTATTGAATCCGAATAGACTACGGTATTATATAAATACAGAGAAGATCCAGCACCAGGCTAGGACACGTAATTCCGGCTTGACATCAGGTCATCCACTAGCTGTGTTGTACATTGCAACATAGATAGACGACACGAGAGGATGTGGTATGGTTTGACTCCCAGGCAAGCCGAAGGATAACAGCTGCCAAAATATTCAACGCACCGCATTCAATGCCTTCTTCTCCATTACCTTAGGTCGACGTCAACTCAAAATGTCACCCTCCCTCCGTTATTATATACGGCAGACCGCCCCGAAAGGCGTAAACAGTCGAGAGAACTTGAGGTATGAGATCAGTCTCATCTGAACATTCACTACGGAGCAGCAGTTAGGGAAAGCACCTAGATACATGGAAATCGGAATGTCTTGATGGGGGCATCCTCTCTGTATATAAATATGAGGGCCCTCTCCTCTTCCTTTCTCAAGCTTTGCAACGCAAAGGAGAGAGCCCCGGCCAGATCAGGTTGAGACGTAAGTTGCCTCTCTCTCTTGGACTTTTCCTCTCTCCTCGTGTGCCCTGAATTACCTACTCAGACCGTTTCTCCGAAGCACCCAACGCAAGGAGAACAGGTAATGGGGTACACTGAGCAGCCACCTGCGTTCCCAAACATGCCCCTAGGCTTGTCCCATTCACCATTACCTCCGAAGCAGCGTCAGTCGCAGAAAGGGGTGATCTGATTGGGCGACGCCGAGACGATCAACACTCGACTCCTACTAAGGCAGACCTCCGTTGCCAGGCTCCCATCGTTTCCCAAGAAACCAAATGCCTTCAAACGGTCTGCCACTCTCTCCAAACCGTTTTTCTCTTTCTCCCTCTTTCTCATCCTCATCGTTACTCCTCCTTCTCTGTACACATCATTTCTGATCTTTGCATCTAACTCTAGAGCATCGTACCACACCACGCACGTCCTCGCTGCAATCCACGTCACAGTCCACGTCACGCTTAAAGGGGAGTCCTGGTTAGTATCTGCTTGCTTTCCTTTGTCTTCTGATCATCATCGCCTCTTTTCTTTTAGCAAACAAGCTACACTGTTATCCGGACGCGGTGCAGCTCCCATGCGTCCAAGTCGCCCAGGCATAAGGGCTCAGCGTCTACCTAGATTCCCGTCATTCCCCTTCTCTCTTGTACCTTTCCTGATATTTCACACGGCGTCCCTGCTGACACTTCGAGATCAGGAGATCCTAGTTGTCAGCAAGACCCGCCAGCGATATCAGCCCACCCAGGTGCGTTATTTCACTAAAGTGCACGCTCCTTTTCACGTCATCACAAACATCCTTTGCACAACCGTCATGTTACCGAGTACCGTCGTGTTGTGTTGTGTTGAGCGTTCACGGAATGTTGGTGAGCTTTGGATCTCAAGGTGGCCTGCTACGTTGATGGTGACCACAACCGCTGCGATGGTCACTGGGAGTCTGGGACCGTGCACTCGGCTGCACCGCGGCGTTCCCCTTTCCCCTATCACCGCATGTCTTGCGGAACTCGATTCTCGGGTTGCAAACCTCTGTGCACAAGCCTTGTCACACCCAGATTCACGTCACTCGAGGACACTGAAACCAGCTCTCCATCGTCGAGTCCTGTTACTCCATCGTTTTACCTCTCAAGTTTACCTTGTTGTCCCCATTCATCCAAGGCAATCATTCAAAATTCTACATCATGCTCGGGCTTTTCGGGCTAACATACTGACAGCACGAGCCATCTGTGCCATCCACATCACTCCCCATCGCACATTGCACGTTGGAGCAACATAAGGAGAGCAATTTCAAGATACTTCCCGTGTTGATATATATAGGTGTGTACCCGTCGCACTCTCGATGTTGTATTGCATCTTTTCCCTATCCGAACCCAGAACATCATTTAACACTACGCCCTGCAAAACTTAACCTTGTTTCCTTCCTGGCACGTATCACTATTGCAACGGCTACTTTTTATCTCTTCCTTCTTCACCCTCCCTCCCTATCACTCATATATAATTTATGATTCCTTCCTGGCGCACGGCTAATTCACACAGCGACGCACTTAGGTTATAAGTTTTCATCTATATATATCACCACGGAACCTACCTCAACTACCAGCTTTACCTATATATCTCGCCCAACATGAATCGTACTGAGATTGGTTCAGTTGCTACTGGCCCCATCATGGCCTTTTTTAAGAGAAAAACTTCTGAAGTCCAGGAAGTAGATTTACCTGTCAAGAAGCAGAGAACCCAGCCTGGCCACGATTCTACTCTGCCTAAGCCACAGATGCCCACCTCGTCGGGCTCAACCCCTTTCGTGCCCTTTGGGCGACCCC